AACTCCTGGCCTCAGGTGAGACACCTGCCTTGGCCTAATCTATTATATTTTTTAATCTAAAGTGTATTCAGTAGATAACATATAGTTGGATCATTTTTTCACATTCAGTCTCTCTCTGTTTTTTGATTGAATTGTTTGATCTATATTCACACTTAATATTATTATTGATATTGTTAGATTTACCTCTGCTATTTAATATTTTGTCTTCTATATATCTCATGTTTTGTTTTCCCTGCGTTGTTCCTTGAGTATTTTTTTGCATTAAGTGAATACTTTCTAGTTAACATGTTAATTGACCTAATTTTTACATGATATTTTAAATGTTATTTCCTTAGTGGTTGCCCTAGGACTTACAGTACACATTTTAACTTATTAGAATCTACTTCAGGTTTTTACTAACTTAAGTCTAATGACTTATAGAAGTGTCACCCCTATATAACTCTTTGCCCTTCCCTCTGTGTATATAAGTGTATATATAGTATTTATATGTTACAAACCCAGTAATACACAGTTATAATTCTTACTTCTTATAAGTTTATGTCTTTTAAATAAGCTCAAGGAAAAAAGAAAAGCACAAATCTTATAGAGGGCTTTTAAAAATTAACCTTATTTTTTATTTTTGGTTCTCCTTATTTCTTCTTTTGACTTCAAATTACAAACTAGTGTTATTTCCTTATTCCAATAAAGTTCTGTTCCCACACACCTCTTTTGTGATATTACAGTAGTCCCTTGATCTCTGCAATTTTGCTTTCTGTGGTTTGTTACCCATGGTTACCCATGGTCAAACACGGTCTGAAAATATTAAATGGAAAATTCCAGAAATAAGCAATTCATAAGCTTTAAGTTGCATGCCATTCTGAATAGTGTAATGAAAACTCACATCATTCCTTTGCCTAGCATATCCATGCTATGTAGGCAACCCACCCATTAGTCACTTAGTAGCCATCTTGGTTACCATGTCAAAAAAAACATAGTATATACGGTTTGGTACTGTGTCTGATTTCAGGCATCCACTGGTAGTCTTGGAATGTATCCCCTCCCTCCTGATATGGGAGGACTACTGTTTCTTCAAATAGATTATATTTCTGTATGTTATAAACCCAATAATGCAATTATGTACATATTGTTTTATTTATTTATTTTTTTTTTTGAGACGGAGTCTCGCTCTGTCGCCCAGGCTGGAGTGCAGTGGCCGGATCTCAGCTCACTGCAAGCTCCGCCTCCTGGGTTCACGCCATTCTCCGGCCTCAGCCTCCCGAGTAGCTGGGACTACAGGCGCCCGCCACCTCGCCCGGCTAGTTTTTTGTATTTTTTAGTAGAGACGGGGTTTCACCGTGTTAGCCAGGATGGTCTCGATCTCCTGACCTCGTGATCCGCCCGTCTCGGCCTCCCAAAGTGCTGGGATTACAGGCTTGAGCCACCGCGCCCGGCCACATAATGCAATTATGTACATATTGTTTTATATAATTGCTTTATAAATCAGAGAAGGAAGGAGAAGGACTCTACAGTTATACCATCTTTTGTAATTAATTACTTACATAATTACTTTTACTGGAACTCTGTTTTTCTGTGTGGATTTAAATTACTGTCTGGCATCACATTTTTTTCAGGGTAAAGAACTTCCTACAGTATCTCTTTTAAAGCTGGTTTGCCACCAACAAATTCTCTTCATTTTGGGGTAGCTGAAATGTATTTATTTCTCTTTCATTTTTGAGAGATAGTTTTCCTGGATAGGGGAATCTTGTTTGTCAGGATTTTTTTTCAGCATTTTGAATTTTTTATCTCACTGCCTTCTGGCCTCCATTACTTCTGACGAGAAATAAGCTATTAGTCTTTTGGGGCTTCCTATAATGGCCTAGGAGTCAACTGTTAATCTTATCAGAGTATGTAATGAGTAATTTTTCTTTTGCTGCTTTCAAGTTTTTCTTTTTGTATTTAGTTTGAATATTCTATGTTGTGTCTGGGTATGTATCTCTTTGTATTTATCTTGTAGTTGGTTGACATTATTGGATATATATAGATTAATGTTTTCCATCAAATTTTTTACTTTTCAGCTATTATTTCTTCAAATCTATTTTCTGCTTCTTTCTCTCCTGTTCTTTCTTGGCAGTCCCCTTACACATATGTTTTTGAGATTAATGGTGTCCCACATTTCTCTGAGATTTTGCTTACTTTTCTTCATTCTTTATTCACCCTACTCTTCAGATTGCATACTCTATTGATCTGTCTTTATGTTTACTGATTCTTTCTTCTGCCAGCTCAAATCTACCATTGAGTCCCTCTAGCAGTTTTTCATTGTGGTTATTGTAATTTTCAACACCAGAATTTCCAGTTAGTTCTTTTTTAAAAAATACAACTTCTACCTATTGTTGATATTCTTTATTTTGTGAAACATCGTCATCATACCTTATGTAAATTCTTTAAACATGATTTCATTTAGTTCTTTGAACATATTTTCAATAGCTGCTTTGAAGTCTTTGCCTTCTAAGTCCAACATCTAGGAACCCTAAAAAGCTGTCTTATTGCCTGCTCTCCCCCACCCCTACGAAATGGTCAAGCTGCTCACACTCCCATTCTGGAAGTCCTGCCCCAATTATTTTTTAATTGGTTTTTTAAAGTCACCACTTTTTAGGACTTGGATTTAATAAACTCCCAGAGTATGTCAAAGTAGATTTTCCTCTTTTTTAAGAAAAGGATTGTATTTTATTTTTTTTGCTACAACTACTGATGAAAGTTGTGTGTGGGGGTTTGTTCGTTTGTTGCAGTTTTTTTTTTTTTTAAATGGTAGCAAGATGGCAGAATAGAAGATCCCTGGCATCATTACCCTCACAAAAATACAATTAGAAATTATTCAAAGATAAGAATGCCACTCTGAATTCACCAAAACTTAGGGGAGAAGTAGAGAAACCCCCTAGGCCTACAAAATCTAGAGAAACCATGATCAACAAGAGAAATAGTCATTTCAGACTGTGCCACCTCTTCCCCCAAACTGGCACAATGCCACTCACAGAGAATTTCCCTAGGCTCACAGTTTCTGAGATAAGAGGAGGGAATTGAAGGTGAACATTCACTATCCCTATCAGTCTGGGAATCTTCCAAGGAAACCCATCCTGGTCTCATTCCAAAGGAACCATTGGAAGTGTCAGAAGGGCTGAACCACCTGGGGTGAATTAGGAACACAGAGTGGGGCACTGACTGCAGTGACTGGAGCATTGATCTTGGTGGCTACCGTGTGCTTTGATCAGCAGGGATGCCACATTGAAGAGATTGGCTGATGTCATAGAGCTGCAGGGAGTACAAACTGTGGGAAGTCTTGAGTAGCTGGCCAGATTTTTCCACAAAGCTCAGGTGCTCATGTGGAGTTTCTAACTGACCTGGAAACAACTAAAAGGTGAGGATTCAGTTCTCATGCCCACTTAAGTCTGCCCCCAGACTGTGAAACAATGGCAAAGCAGCAATATAGTTCCTGGATAATTTTTAACTTCTGGCACTCACTGTAAGTCTTCCTCAGACCGGGAAACAATGGCAGGCAATGAGTTAGTTCTAGGGCAGTGTTTTAGTTCTGGAGCTCATTATAAGTCCTCCCCAGAATGTGAAGAAACACCAGGCTGGTATTTAAGTTCTGTTACTCGGTAGGAAAGGTCTGACGTTACCAAAGAACACCTGCAAAAGCTGGAAGAGGTGGATGTCTTCTCAAATGTGCAGGCATCAAGAAAGATTTGGAAGGGATCAAGACAGAAAGATTTTGAAAACTCAGGGAAATATGACCAAAAGACACCAACAAAGCTTCACCAATGGACCCAGAAGATTTGAAGACCTATGAAATGCCAGAGAATTCAGAATAATCCCCCTAAAGAAGTTAAGGGAATCACAAGCAAATATGAGGAGAAAACTAAATGAAATTTGCAAAACAATCCAGGAACAAAATGAGAAATTTGACAAAGAAATAGAAACAATTTAAAAACCAAGTAGAAATCCTACAAATAAAGAATGCAATAACTAAACTGAAAAACTCAGTAGAAAGCTTCGACAGCAGACTTGATCAAACAGAGGAAAGAATTGGTGAGTTTTATAACCCAATCAGAGGAGCAAAAATAAAAATAAAAAGAGTGAACAAGGCCTACAAGAATTATGATGCACTACCAAGCCAATTAATGTCTACCTAATAGGAATTTCTGAAGGCAATGAGAGAGAAAAATGCCTAGAAAGCATATTTAAGGAAATGATGGCTGAAAATTTCCTAAATCTGGAGAAAAATGACACCATTTAGGTACAGGAAGCTCAGATATTACCGATGAAATTCAACCCAAAGAGGAAATCTCCAAGGCATATTATTATCAAATTAGCGAAAGATAAAAGACGCATAATACTCAAACCAGCAAGAGAAAAGAAACATACCACATTCAATGGAGCCCTAATACAGCTTTCAGTGGATTTCTCAGTGGAAACCCTGCAGGCCAGGAGAAAATGGGATGTTATATTAAAAGTGCTGAAGGAAAAAAGGACTGCTAGCCAAGATTACTGTACCCAGCAAAGCAATCCTTTAAACATGAAGGAGCAATAAAGACTCTGCTTCTTAGTGAATTCATCAACACCATCTCTGTATTAGAGGAAGTGCTAAAAGGATTTCTTCAATCAATCTGAAAAGAAAGAATGCTAACATGTAACAAGAACACATCTGAAGATATTAAACTCACTGGTAAAAGAAAGAAAATAGGCAAATTCAGAATACTCTAATACTGTAAGTAAACCATTTATATATTAAGTGTGAAGAATTAAAACTATTAAAAACAGTAACTACGATAATTAGTTAAGAGATAGGCAATACAGAGATATGTAACAAGGATTACCCATGCAAATAGAAACCAAAAGAGATCAGGAGTAGCTATACATATATCACTTAAAATGGACTTAAGTCAAGAACAGTTTTAAAAAGAGAAGGCAAGTATATAATGATAAAGAGGTCAATACAAAAAAAAAGGATATAACAATTGTAAATATATATGCACTCAACACCAGAGCACCCAAATATATAAAACAAATACTAATAGACCTAAAGGGAGATATTGTCTGGGATACAGTAATAGAAGGGGTCTTTTAACATCCCATCTTCAACAATGAACACATCATCCAAACAAAAAATCAACGAAGAGACATTAAACTGCACTGTAGATCAAATGAAGCTAACAGATGCTTACAGAACATTCCATTCAACAGCTGCAGAATACACATTCTTCTCATCAGCACATAGAACAGTTTTCAGGATAGTCCATATGTTATGTCACAAAACAAGTCTTAATAAATTTTTAAAAATTGAAATCAGGTATTCAAAGAACATACAGCTGAACAACAAATGGGTCAATGGAGAATTTTAAAAGAAAATTTAAAAATTCCTTGAGACAAATGAAAACGGAAACACAATATACCAAAACCTATGGGATAAAGCACAAGTAGTTCTAAGAGGGAATTTTATAAAAATAAATGCCTATGTCAAAAAAGTAGGAAGATCTCAAATAAACAACTTAGTGATACACCTCAAGGAACTAGAGAAACAAGAACAAACCCAACCCAAAAGTAGTAGAAGGAAATAAATAATAGAAACTAAAAATAATACAAAAGATCAATGAAAAGAAAGTTATTTTTTGAAAAATAAAATTGACAAAAGTTTAGCAAGACAAAGAAAAAAAAAGAGAGAAGGCCTAAATAATTCAGAGATGAAAAAGGAGACATTAAAACTGATACCACATATACACAAAGGATCACTAGAGACTATTCTGAACAATTACATGCCAACAAATTGGTAAGCCTAGAATAAACAGAAAAATTCCTGTACACATACAACCTAGCAAGATTGAACCATGAAGAAGTAGAAAACCAGAACAGACCAATAAGTAACAAGACTGAAACAGTAATAAAATGTATCCTACCAAAGAAAAGCCCAGGATCTGACAGCTTCACTGCTGAATTCTCCCAAACATTTAAAGAACTAATATCAATTCTACTCAAAATATCCCAAAAAATTGAAGAGGAGAGAATACTTCCAAATTCATTCTACAAGACCAGCATTTCTATGGTACCAAAATCAGACAAGGACACACACACAAAAAGAAAACTACAGTTTTATATCCATGATGAACATAGATGCAAAAATCCCCAACAAAATACTAGCAAGTCAGATTCAACGACACATTA